GGTATCCATCGGAATCGACTCAAAGGCAACTTTTTTTAAAAAAAATAATTGCTATTACAGGAGATTGTGGTGGAATTTGAATCCAGATAACAATTTCTTATTAAACTTTTCCCTTTGGGGCCTTGGGAGATAGCCTTGCATTGTTGCCTTTCATTGCCTAAACTGGTAGAGAGCTGGGAACCAGTTTGACTCCTCCCTTCATTATGTTTTCCTTGCAGTTAGTCCCTTGCCACCTGGTGAAGAAACCTGTTTAATGTCAAACAGGTGAGCAGAACACAAGTGCCACTTGGGGGAGGGGAGCTGTTGTGTCCTTTGCACTGGGAAGGGGAGAACATGTATCACATTTTTTTAGCATATGTTTAATTATAGATTGTTAAATATAGTTTTAATTGTCTCAGTATCAACTGTGGGTTTGGGAATTGTTGCAAGCAGATGTGGTAGGTAGAAGCGAGTCTGAGATTTAAAAAGCCATTAGTAGGAACTGGGAGCACATAGGTGTATATATATAGCAGATGTACCTAAATAGAGCAAAACCAGAGCCAGCAGTTTGTAGATACTTTATTGAATGAACAAGTTATTTACTTAAAATCATTATATACAGGCATTGGGTTGTCAAGGTTGTGAGTGGTCAGGAACAATTATTTCTAGAGTTCAGAAAAAGATGGGCAGTGGAAAATCAGAAACAGCAATGTGAAGATAACTGTATGGAAAGAGTTCCATTTACTGCAAGACTATAGAAGTCTATTGATTGTGTTTGATGCTGTTTCACAAACATACAGACACTTCTCCTTCAGTGTGTCCTTTCCCATCATGCACACTGTCCCTCAGATCAGCTCTTGCCAAGCAATGATGTGGGGCAAAAGAACAGAGTATTACCAGCTCTGAGGTTTAGCTGGCCTGTGATAGAGGTTGAAATCAGACTTGTTTAGAAGTGCATGCCTACCAGGCCCTGCTTTAAACCCAAGGAAAGGCAAGAAAGTAAGCTGAACAAAACATGAGTTGTCTCCTGTGTCTCAGAGATTGGGAAAGGTTTGCACGATGACATCTGTCGGATCTGTAAGTACAGGGCACATTGAGAATCCAGACTACTACTGACACCGAGTGGGTGCTGAAAAATGTTTGTAGAATGAATGGATGACTGGAGTAATAAACACACCAGGTACTATTCAGATACATTTGTAGCAACTAGATGAATTCATTAAGATGGGGATTTTTCCTTTATAAAAAGAAGAGAAGAAGGTTTGTCCTCCACCCTTTTCCATGTAAAATTGATATATTCTGAAATGTGTCCAGCTCTTGCTTCTTCCTGAAAAGATAGGAGGTGGCTTTATAGATTCTGTGATGGATGTATTTCCCATTTTAATCCAATAGTTTCAGAGTTTTCATGGGGAGGGGAGCATGCTATGGTTTCTTCTCTTAACCATCCACTTCTCTATACTTTTCCAAGCATCTTCATGTTTTGAAAAATTCCTTTCTCATTTATTATTCTGATTTCATATCTAAGGAGAAACCAGAAACTCGGAGAAGAAATAGTCTGAAAATGTGTGGTGGTTTTGGGAGGGAGAAAGTAAAGGATTATGCTTTCAAACCAACTGTAAAACCAAAGGTTAGAGTAGGGACAGGCACTGTCAAAGTATCTCCACACAGGAGTTGGAGCTGTAATGCAAGAGTTGGCCAACAGTGAAGGTCAGAAGGGCAAGGTGGTTACAGGGTCAATGGAACTGAACAATCAAGTTCACAGCTGTCAAGCACTAGGAATGGGAAGATCAGACCCATCATAGCTTAGCCTGTAAGTGAATTATGTCACTGAGGATCAGCCATGGGAAATATCCAGCACCAAGACAACAGATGGGACTTCTAAAGTGGTAATAGCCCTTGAGAACTCTTCTGAGCCCTTGAATAAGCAACCACATGCCAGATAGGACTTCCAGAGCAATGCAAATGGGGTGAAATAGGAGGTGTGTGAGGATTTGAAGTAGGCTGCTGGTCACAGTCATGGTCAAGTCTCCCAGGAAAGAGTTTAATTACAATTCAGGGAAAATAATTATGCATAAGCCAGTTAGGAAGGGAGAACCAAAATAAGATTGAACCTCAAAGCACATTTCTAGCATGTACTAAGAACAAGTGGTAGAGGAGCCAGTAGACTGGGATTAGGGGTAAAAGAAGATGGTGAACATGTGAAGACAAGCAAGAGAGGCAAAGATTAGATGGAAGTTAACAAAGGCAGAGAGGAAAGGAAGGAACTATGGTCTAAAAGGAAAAAACTGAGCTAGGAGCCAGAAGACCTTGATCCCAGCTCTCCACATACCAGCTATGTGACCTTATGACTTGGTAAAGGTACTTAACCTCACAGAGCCTCAGGTTCTTCCATTGCAACACAGGTGTTAGTAATATCCACCTCACAGGGCTACTTGTGAAGAGGCCAAGTGAAAATTGAAGTTAAAGTATCTTATAAGCCATATGGCCCCAATGAAAACCAAAACAAACCAAACTCACTGCCGTCGAGTCAATTCGACTCGTAGTGACCCCTCCTTGGGTTTCCAAGGTGGTATCTCTACAGAAGTAGTTTGCCCAATCTTCCTTTCGAGGAGTGGCTGGAGGGTTTGAACCACCAGCCTTCTGGTTACCAGTCAAATGCCTTAGGCACCAGAGCTGCCAGCCCTAATGAAAGGATGAAGTAAATTGAGAAGCTATAAAAAGGAAAACAATAGAGGAGAAAATAAATGGTAAAGAATAAAGAAATATTAGGTACTATTCAGCTTCGTTATAAATCATTCAGGAAACATCAGATGAGTTGGGCTTGTTTAAAAAAGAAATAAAGGCCATCACATACCACTTGATTACAAGTTATCTACTGGAGACAAGAGGAAAGTAGAGTGGCAGTAGGTGGGTTGCTACCACTGAAAGCTATGCCATGCACCAGTCATGTGACCGAGAAAAACCTCCCACTAATCCATGCCTCTTTCTCTAGCTGTAAAATCAGAAAAATGATGTATATGCTGTCCCCTAGTTTAGAGGGATTGTGTGGTAAATTGCTTATGCAGAGAGCCTTGACTTCATCAAGAGAATGTATTTTCTTCAGTAAAATTGGACTCTAGAATCCATGTTCAAGTACTTGTTTCATGTACTTTCTCAGGGAAGGGGGCGGGAAATGAACTTGTCAGGTAAGGTGCAAAGCCATAGATCCCAAAGATCTCGACCTGAGGGACAGCTCTCTCAGTGAATTCCAGTGAGAAGTCACTCCCACCTTCTCATATCCCACAAAGCATCCTTCCCCTCTCTCATCACTATGTATTGAAAGACATCACAGTTTAACCAGTCATTCCACCAACTGAAGCAAGATAGTAAATCATTTTTTCTCTAATGTTTCTCTGATCTCCCAAATGTAGGAAAAAACAAAACAACTGGACAATACAAGTTCACAGATGAAATCCTCAGAAGCCACCTAGCCCATCTGTCCCCTCTGACTTCACTCTTGCTCATCATCCTCCTCAGTCTAGAACATATTTTCTTAGTTAATATATCATTCTCATGAAATCTAGAGAATATTCCAGCTTCACAGGTCTTTTCGCAAAGGTAGGTCCTACCTCATATCCTTCTCTGCATGTTTTTGGCCAGTCATCTGGACCTGTCAGAGTTAGCCTCAGCTGAGCAATCCATCTCAGACTGCTTGTGAAAGATCATGGTCATAGTCAAACTCCATTTCAAAATTTTGCAAGACTAAAAAACCATCTCATCTGCTCCAGTTCATCCTCTGAAATCACTCATTCAGTTGAGTCCTGTGTCTCAGTTGCCTCCTGTAAAATGAGGAATAATACTGACCCACAGAAAGTTTGAAGGAAGAATTTAGGAAATTCAGTCACAGTGTCCACAGGAAAAAAATACCTCCCAGCTATCTCATGGTAGTGTGCTCCTGGGAAGAACATGCATATATTATCCCAACAGGATCGGAAACATGTATGACTCATAAGAGCCATGTAAATTGTTGTCAGAGGTTCCCAAGTCCCCTAACTCTTGCATCCAACCCTGGGGTACTAGGCTTTAGAGATCATTTTAAATCATGCTTCATTATCTTTCTAAAACTGGAGAACCTAGAGGAACATGCTTTGTTCTTGTAACCTAGCCATATGGGGCAGGAACTTGGGAAAAATAAATGACTTCAAAGAAAAGCAGTTTGTGACTTTTGCCATGACCTGAACTAATCACGCCTGCTTCCCTTCCAATGAGACATCCATTCTCTTGCAGCAATGAGAGTGAGCCAGTTCCAGCCAGGTAAGAAGAGAGAGAGGTGCTACTTCCCACACTTATACAAAGTCATTTGGAACACAGAGAAGTCCAGCTGTCATGGGAGCTGCTTTCTTGAAAGGTAGGGCAGGATGAGACTGAGCCCATGTGGAAATGTTGGCTTCTCAGTTCTTCTGGCCAAGTCTTATGGTGTGTAGAATTCTGATGGACTTAGGATGTCAGAGATGAAAGTTCAGTGATCAGTGGCTGGATGGACGAATGGATAGAGGGATAGATACATGAAGGGAAGTGATGTGGCCCCTAGGGCACCCGCCTGATGCTGTTGACATCACTGAACTTGGGATATCCAGTCCCTCAGTGTTCAGGCACCTACCAATGATAAAACAACTCACTGAGAATGCTCAGCCCTGTCCAAAGACTCTTTGACCAAATCCACAATCTTTACAAAGGAGGGAGTGGGTATTTACTGTGTCTTTAACATCATGGCTAATGATTTCAGGTTGCCCCAACACTTAGCCAAAGCAACCCTCCTTCTGAAGGACCTGATATCACACAGGGCTTTGTGACTTGGGCATCAACTTAAAGAAGTACTGTGAGGGTGGGGGACCCTGGGTAGGGCAGAAATTGACCTAAGGGTCCAAACTTAAAGCCACTTCAGTTGTGGGTGACAGAGCCACTCTGTACATCCTTCCACCCTTATCCATCTCTCCCTCCCCAAGTCCCTCTACTTCACCTCAAGCCACATCCTCTCTCTTCTATTCTTCCACGGGCACTGCAGAGTTCTCTTTGTTTTCTGATGGGATAGCAAGGTAGTCAGACCTGTAGGAGGACATACGGGGGGAAAGGATAAGTGCTTTAGTACCCAGTGGTGGGGATATAAGGGGATAGGATCAGGGGTACCCACAGAACAGTCCTGCACTTCCTTCTGCCTCTGCTCCCCAAGGGACAACAAGAATAGCCCCTTTCAGCAGATTAGAACAATGGAGTTCTTTTCATAGTTGTATACGAACACTCCCACCAGCAGTGGATGAGTCTTTTCATTTATCTACATTGTCTTCAGGACTTAGTATTGTTAAATTAAAATTCTGGCTAAGCTAATGAGTGTAAATTATATTTTACAGTTGCTTTCTGTTTCATTTCCCTGGTTATTGGTTAAATTTTTGTATATTTATAGGCTATTTGGGTTTCTAATTTCATAATATGACTGTTTCTTTGCTTTTCCAGTTTTCTCTTTTAGGATATCTTTTTCTCTTCTTTTTTATGGCTTTATGTCTTGAAAATGTCTCCTCCAAGTTTGCAGTTTCTCTCTAAACTTTGCTTATGGAGTCTTGTAATGAACAAATGAGTTGTCATATAATAAAAATGATTATATTTTTTTCCTTCTTGATTTAAGCCTCTTGTATTTTAAGAAATCCTCTCTATTTGAAGGTAATAAGGATATTTTCTTATATTCTCTTAAAAGAATTTTGAAGTTTTGCATTTCATTTTGTCTTTAAATCAGTATTTTTGTTTATTGTGAGAGATGATGACTCTAATTTCACTTATTTATTCTTCATTCTGCCTTCAATGGTTGTAAAGCCGAATCTGCCACGTTATGTTTTTAATATATGCATGAATCTATTTTGGAGCATTCTGTTTTGTTCCATGGGCCTATATTTTATGCCTATAACAGGATCACAAAGTCTTTACTTTGTTAGCTCTGTAAGAAATATTCAAACCCTACCTTGGGTGGTACAAAGTTAATGCACTCAGCTGCTAACTGAAACGTTAGAGGTTCAGATCTGCCCAGAGGCCCTCAGAAGAAAGTCCTGCTGATCTCCTCCTGGTGGATTTGAACTGTCAATCTTGTGAATAGCAGCCAAATGCCTAAACCACTATGCCTCAAGATCTCTAATCCAATAGAAGCAAGGAGAAGTGGCATCTTTGTCAAGTTTCTAACATTACAGGAAATTCTTCTAAAGTTTCAACAATAAAGATGACATGTGCTGTGGGTTATCATAATAGCTAGTATTCATCAGCTTAAGAGAGTTGGTGTTTAGTGTGTATTTATTTGTCTTTATCTGCTCAAGAAATGTTGTACTCCTTGAATGTGAAGAGTCATGTCTTTCCTCAGCCACTGTATCTCTGGATATTATTTCTCTTCCATTTTCTCAGTAGTCCCTTAGTGGTGTGTGATGGTTATGTTTGTAGGTCAACTTGGCTAGGCCTCGTTGAGTGGCTGGGCATCTGGATGTAGTATTCCCCATGATAAGACTGGCAATCAACTCCATGATGGAAGCTACTGGGAGCAGCTGAGTAGCTGCCTTTGGGTATGTGGTCTGCTTCCTGTATATAAGGAGAAGCTTTGGGAATGGTCTCTAGCCTGTGGCACGCTTGGACCCTGCATGTAGCCGTGTCATTGCTCAGCAGCCTGCTATGCTCTGTGGACCTTGGGACTTACAATGGACTTAAGTTAATGGCCTCCCATGTGGTTTGGTAACATCGAGACTGTGCCTTTTTACTTGTCAACCTTGGGGCTTCTCAGCCTCAGCAACCTATAGCTGTCTGAGTGAAGAAACGCCTCTAGCTCCAGTGGGCTGGGAGCAGGAAGCAGAGCTGGACCCCAAGGTTGAGGGGCTTTCACCCAGCCCCTAGAGCTTGGCACTTTGAACTTGGACTTAAAACCTCCAAATTGTAAGAATAAACTCCTGTTTGTTAAGGCCATCCCATTTGTGGTATATTTCTCATCAGAGCAGCACTAGGTAACCAGAACATGGTGCAAATGATAACCACTGAAAAGTTGGTGGTTTGAACCCACCCACAGGCACCTCAGAAGAAAGGTCTTCTGACTTAATGTTTATTCTCTCAGTTCTATTTTATTAGAGCTTCTCATTTTTTCCTTATTTCTTTGTATTATTCCATCTCTTTCTTTGTGCTTCACAGTATTTAACATACTCAATTTATCTTCTGTTTATGTGTATCTGATTTTCTGTTGAACCAATCCATTGAGTTTTTAACTTTATTGACTGTATTTTTCATTTTCAGATTTTTGTTTCCTATTCAATATGCCTTTTCTTTATTTCTTGTTATTGCTTTAACAATTTTAAACACACTTTTTTTTATACTCTATCAGGTTCTTCTTGTTTCTGAAGTTCCTGCGATTTAATACTGCCATTTGTTACACTCTTGCTCATGCCAGATTGTTTTCTGCTATGTCTTTTAAATTTAGGTTGGGCTGTGCAATCACTTTAATCAGTGCTTTATCTGGGGGAATCCTGTTAAGCCTCAGTTGCTGGTGGGTCCTGTCACAATGGTTCATTTGCTTCAACAAAGTTGTCATGGTTATCACTGGCAGAGGATTCATTTTTAGTGAATTTCCCAGTTTGGGAGTTCCTGTATCATGTGGGATGTATAAATTTAAGTCCTCAACATTGTGAGAGCAGACTTGTGGTTACTAATTCTCAAGAAACTTTTATTTTTCTACTTGGAGCCAGACTAAAATGGGTAAGCTTCCTTGGCTTCTCTTGGGCCAGTGGGCTGATTGTTTTCTGGTCTATTTTTGTCTGAATTGTAACTCTCTAAGGATCCTGGTTCTGTTGGGGGCCTCAGGCTCAATTCTGTTCCATGTATAGTCCTAAGTGTAAGCACTTCCTGTCCAAGTTTGGGCACTTCCTGTCCAACTATGGTTACTTCCTGTCCAAGCAGGAGCACTAAAACACAAGCACCTAGGTCACCAGGAATGGCAGTCTTCCCCAGCATAGCCATTCCTTCTACTGTCATACCTGATCAGTTTTAATTTTTCACTTCCAGGGGCAAAAATGGTATTTACTTTGTCAAACAATTCTAGGTTATAATAGCCTAGGGATTTTAGGTTATCTCCTTGGCTATGTGGCCAGCACTGTAAATCTGTGGGGGATTCTTTTCTACCTTCCCTCTCCCCAGATAACAGGCCCAGCATAGTCTCTTAGACCTTTAGACCCCATCCTTTCTTACATGTGCTCACTCCTATTGGCCACTCCTGAGGGCAAAAATGGCCAAGCTGCAGGCTGGACAATGGAGGGTGGTAGGTCCTACTCTAGGTATTCAATTCCTGCTTGGCTATGGAGGTGTGGAAGGAAGACTGGCAAATCTACTTCCATAAAAATTTACCTCCAGAGAAATCTAAGGGGATCACTATGAGTTGGAATTGACACAATGGCAGTGAGTTTAGTTTTTGGTTTTTAGGCTATGGAGGAAGAACATGTTGCTTGGAGTTCCTTTGTTAAAAAAGGGAAGTGCCCAGATAGGCTGGTGAGCTCCATGGAGTTCTACTCAACAGCTGGAGTTCAACTCAAACAGTTGAGTGTGATAGAGCACGGACTTTGAGAGGTCTGGGTTCAAATTCCAGCATCTGTTCTCACTATCTGTGTGGCTTCAGGTTAGCCAGTTAGCCTCTCTGAGCCTGTTTTTATATCTATAACATGGTTATAACAATGCTAATTTCATAATATGTGGTGGCAGCTAAATAGGCTTTAGTTTAGTGGTTAAGAGTATAGGCCAAGAGTCACCACTTTTGAATTTAAACCTTGTTTTGTCTCTTTTGATGTCCTTGGGAAAACTCACCCAGATGTTTTCTCATCTCTAAAATGGGTAAATAATGTGCTTATCTCATATGTGTTGTAAGGCAGAAGGTGGAGGATATATATAAATTGCTTAGCACCTCATCTGTAACCACAAACACTCTGAAGATGTTAGCTATCATTATTACTTTGACATGTTTGGACTTACACATTTTCTTGGGCTGCCTCTTCAGCCTTTGAGACCTTCCTGTAGCAATATACCATCTCAATGAGCAGCCACAAAGTGAGGAAGACCAGGAGGATGTACATCATGATTTCTGAGACCACAGAGGTGAAGTCCTCTCCAGCTGCAGGGGGAGAATGAGCTCAGAATGTGTGTGTCCAACAAACCTAGAGCTGTCATTGGCATCAACAGATATATAGGGCCTGTTTTTAGGTATGGTTTAAACAAAGACTGGCTCTAAAGGAAATCAAGAAGGCGTAGAAGGATTTCATATCTGTGAACTCTCCTGTGTGTTAGCTTCTCTCTGACTTTCATCAGATGCTCTGGAGAGAGAGTAATGGATCAGTGAATACACAGTACAGTGGAAGGAACTCTGGACTCAGAGCCAAATATATATGGTTGGGTCCCAATTTTGCTACTTACTGGTGTGTGAATAGTCATATCCCTTATTTGAGACTCAGTTTCTTAATCTGTAAAGTGAGAATAATAATTCCCATCAGTCAGGGTTGTTGTGGATATTATATTACCCAATGAACATTATCTGATATAGTACTGGAAGATGGTGCAGGGCCCAGGCAGCGTTTTGATCTTGTTATACGTAAGGTTGCCATGAGTCAGAGCCAACTTGGCAGCAGCTAACAACTACAGTGTATTTAAGAATATCTTGTGAGATATAAAAGTCTATATAGATAAAAAGGGTTGCCTGAGTTCAACCATATATGTCCTCTGAGTCTAAGAAGCATGATGAAGGGTGGTATTACTAGTGAGAGGACAATGGAAAACATGCGCAGGGCCAACACCATCTGCACACCCAGTGATTTCGGCATATTCTCTATGAGGCTAGATTACAAACAAAGGCCCTCCAACCAAGTCACAGAACAAGGACCACGTTTTTCCCAAACCCAAACAGCAATGAGTATTGGAGGATCTACTGTAATACCAAACTGCCTCAGAATTCTATTTCTGAAACACAGAATTGATCCTACCACTTACCGGCTAAAATCTTTCAGTGGTCCACACTGTCTTCAGGACAAAGCTCAAACTCTATTAAAATGACATACAAGGCCCTTCACAATGTAGTCCTTCTCACTTCATATCCATTCCATTGACCAGCAAACCTTCTTCTCATATACACTGTGATCTTTTGTAATCTATGGACATTTATTCTTCTTAGTCCTTCCTAGATTGTATCTTACACCTACTGCTCCCTTTACCCCAACGTCGTCTCATGCTTTTCAGTTCTCTAGATCTTTCTTCTAGACTCCACTTTAGGTTTCTCTGCTATCAGGCCTTCCTCAACTTCTCATGAAAATTTTGCCACATCCTTCTCCATGTGCTTTTTCCATCCATCGAACACTTCTCAAGTTGTTTCTCTCTCTTTTCTGCTGACTTATTTGTGTTTATTAAGAGTATGTTTAATTATTTCTGAATTATCAGCCTGTAGTCTACTCCTAGAATATTTGAGCTGCAGAAGGAAGACCATAGAGATGCCACCTTAAAAATGCAAGGACAGGTTGCTATGAGTCGGAATCAACTCTTCAGCAATGTGAGTTTGAAATAAGTATTTATTGAATTAATGAATATATATTTAAAAAATACTGGCCTTCTTTGTTTCATGACCAAGAAAAATGACAAAAAACAGTATATGGCAAATGTGCTGATATATATTCTTTCCTAGAGGGGAGTCAGCCCCAGGGTTACAGGTGAGGAGAGACAATTCAGGGACACCCAGAGTAGCAGGCCGGAAGAGCAGGAGAAAGGG